CCCTAGGGCCTTTTATTTATAGTATTAGGGAGATGTATCCCAATTGAACCCAAACTCTAGGATGATTGGCTTGACCATGTCACTAGGTCCTAGAAACACGGGGTAGAGCTAAACTAGGATTCTTGGTCCTCAATCCTTATCGCCAACTCCTGATTGATCAGAGTAGCATTTCATTGGAACTCTAACTCTTTGGTGTCATATTCCCAACTCCTAAATATTTAGAGTAGTATTTAATTAGGACTCGAAATCCTAGGTTGCACCTTAACCGAGAAGGACCCGTTTTTAGTCGCCTTGGGTACCAAGCGTGAACAAGGGAGGTCTTGCCCAAATCTCTTACTAGTTAAAAGTGCCTTAGCCTTTACCTGCTGAGTGGCGTGGGCGAGGTTCGGCCGGGTGGCAAAGGCGAGCCTATTTTATCGAGTGGCAAGGGCGAGCCCCTTTTGCCGAGTGGCAAGGGTAAGCCTTTTTTGCCGAGTGACTTGAAGAAGCCTCCTTGTCTTTGCTTAGTGGACCCTTTTGCCGAGTGGCATGGAGCCACCGTTGCCGAGTGGTGTGAAGTAGCCACTTTTGCCGAGTGGTGTGAAGTAGCCCTTTTTGCCGAGTGGCAGTAGAAGAGCTACTTTATGCCTCACAATCCAAAACTCCTGTACCAATCATATCAGTGGACTACGATCTTTTAAGGAGTACCACACCAACTGTACCAAGCAATCCAAAACTCCTTCGGTACGCATATAAAGAATTTGATGGGTTTTGAATAAGGAAAAATTGTACCAAAAGTATTAGATCAAAACCCGAAGCTGAAGACTTACTCAAATTTAAACTTATCACTAAACAAAATTCAGTACCTATAGGGATAGACACCATGTGTTTGCACCTGAGATTTTTTGTCAAAGAGAACTTCTGTCGCTGCCTGTTGTGGTATAAAAATCAAAAGCTAAGACATCTTTTCACGACAAAAAAAAAAAAAAAAAACTTGTAAAAGAAATCAATGTAAGAGCAATATACTAAGAAATACTATGTTGGTTCTGATATAGAAAAACACGCATGTGGTGTTTGCTTCCAAGAGAGAGAGAGAGAGATATGTGATGAAGGGCCTAGAGTCATTCAAATACCAATTAGGAGTTCTGGAATTGCTAAGATTCCAATTGATGACTGATATATGCATTGCAACATCAAACATCAACTCCTAGAATATGTAGAGACACAAAGAGTAATAGCGGGAAACGATAAGAGGAAGGAACCGAAAAGTTGGGACATCCAAAAGACTAGCAGAATAGAGATATGAGTAATGCTACATTGACCAAATTTTGGAATTAAATTTGAAGTCCAAATAACATGACAGTTGATTATTTGAAGTTTTTATTGGGACCCAAATGACATAACACTAATCAAAGAAACCAAAGTCATCTACCATGTCATTTGGACTCTAAATTTGGTCAGTCTAGCATTACTGTAGAGGTATAGTTGTTGTATAGCTAAATTGTCGTTGCTTGAAATTTAATGTTAATATTATATAACAATAATTATATCATTACAAATCAGTCTTTATACAATTTTTTGAGGGTAATTATGATACCCAATTTTTTTTTGGTTTAGTTGTCTTTTAGAAGTAGTATAAATATAGATATAGATACAAATTAGATAGATAAGGATAAAATTGACATTAAAAAGTTAATTAAAGGTGAAATAGAAAATTAAATTTTTTTTGGTTAAGAGTCTTTTAAGAATAGTATAGATATAGATATAGATAGATATAGATTATTAGTGAGAGAGAAAAAATGGAGAGAGGGAGAGATAGTAATGAGAAGCAATTCAAGAGGTTGATTAGGGTTGTATTTGATAAAATTGAAAAGTGAATCCTGAATGCTGAATTTTAAGTACTAAATATTGAATTTTTTAATTCATAGACTATTTGGTATCGACTGAAATTTAAATATTTAATTAAATAAAATTGTTTGACAAATATAACAAGATAAAGTCTGAAAATTATTATTATTCTATTTTTAAACATCTAACTGCAACTACCTTATTTATACCACCACCATCATAATAGTAATGGTGGTGGTGCTAGCGATGGCGACAACAGTGGTAATGGCGGCAACATAATGGTGCTGATGGTGGTGGTGGTAGTGGTGATGGCGGTGGCAGTGGTACAATGGTGGAGACGACGGCATAATAGAGGTGGTGATGGTGGTAATGGTGGTGGCAGCAGCATGGTAGCAATAGAACAACAGTGGTGATGGTGGCGATCCTGGTGACACAATGGTGATGGGGGTGGTGGTGATGATGGTACAGTAATTGTGGTGGCTTGGCACAGTGGTGGTTGTGGTGGTGGTAATGACGATGACACAATGATGGCAGTGGAGGGTGGATATTGAAAAGTTAATAATGTAAAATGCATGCATTTAAGATATATTTGTCAATTATGAGGAATGTATAAAATCTTTACTAACTGCCAGTGTTCATCATTAAGTGATAAGTAGGTTATTTGTTACTTAAAATTTTAGTCTATTTTTAAGAAATGCTTAAAATATTAAGTGATATGAATTTTTGATTATCAAATGAGTTTTATTCATGAAGTATTTAAAATATTCAGTTTTAAATCTTAAGTAGTGTTATCAAACAGCCTCAGTTTAGTGTGACATTTAGTTTGAAGGATAAGAATGACGTAATTGTATTATTAGAGGGTAAAGATGAAAAAAAAAAAATTTAAGTATGCTGATATTTTAAATTAGTATAGATTAAGGATATAAAATTATTTTGACATGTTTTGGTGTTAGAACTAACAAATTTTGACAATTGAACGCAAGTTTTACAAAAATAAGGGGCGGAGCCACTTTAGGACTTGGGGGACAAGTTTTTTTGGATCTTCTTCATTTATGTCATATTTCTTATCATAATTTTGTTTAATTTATTATATTTACCCTCTCTAATTTTTTTAACATATTATACTTTTAGTCCAAGTTTTTGTCCAAATATTTTTTAGGCTAAATGAAAACTAGTTTAATTGTTTCATATATTAATTTAGTCTTCAATTTTAATATATATATTTGCATTTAAACTTAAAATTTTCTTTATATTAGCTAGAGAATTTTTTGCTAGTTACATTTTGTCCCCCTTGGACAAATTCCTAAGTCTACCCTGCAAGAATTCCTAACTATTTACTTTGGTGCAATACCATAAGGATAACTTTTAGTGGTAGCCTGCTCGAGTAGTAATAGAGATGAGTTCTAAGTTTAGACGTCTTGAGTTCGAATCTTAGCACCTCTTTGGAACCAGACGATGAGGGATTTATCTGTCACAAACACCCTAGTCCGGGCGTGAATGACATGTCTTTGATCGGACTGGGGAGAGAATTAATCGAAGTGCGCGTAAGCTAGTCCAGATAACCCTAATCGTTGAATCAGAAAAAAATACCGTAAGGGTAACTCTAGGGTTTGAAAGTATACATAGGTAACATGCTCCAAGAAGTTAGTCTATAATTTTACAAAAAATAAAAAATGTAACATAAAAGGTAGAACACTAACTGTTAGACCAATTTATACGTTTACTCATTTTACAAAAGATGCATGAATCATAGAGCAAATTCATCATAAAATAGGTAAAGAGGTTAAACCAGGAAGATACATAAGCAGAATATCAGATTCTTCTTCCTCTTTCTACCCTGAGATGGGCGTAAACTCTTCATAACCGGGAGGAAAGACCTCTTGGGCCCTATCGGGCTTGTTTGAGGTCTCTCTCTACCATTTCTCACGGTGTTTGCTTTCGTTTTCTTTGTCTTCTGTATAATCAAGTTAAAATATCTGGTGATTATTAACTTTGATCATAGTTACATGCCTATAACTTTGACCCCATGAACTCGATTTCACATTGCCTCAGTCGCTAACACCAGTTATCTTTTTTAACGGATATTGTTGACGTGTCGGGACAAAGTGAAAAAAATTATATAGTTGAGGGGGCAAAATAAAATAATTTTTTGTTAAATATGTAATAGATGTTCATAATTGGTACAATGTGAAGCTAATTAGATAGTTGAGGGTATAATATGATAAATATAATAGCTGAAGGAGCAAAGTAAAAAAAATCATAGTTAAAGGGGCCAAACTATAATTTATCCATATACGTAAAAGATTTTTCAGAATTGAAAACTATTTTGGTGAGTGTTTTATTACTGTTTCGTGAATAAGTAATACTATTTGAATCTAAAAATTTGATTTAATTTGGTGATATAATGATATAATTTTAATAAAATTATTGGATCAACATTAAATTTCAATGATTGATGAGCTTCACAGTCAATCCAAATATTATAGTGAATTACATCAATAAATAAATTAGGTCTTGTGTTTGTTTTGCTTTGTCCTGCTGATCAAACTATTCCATTTTCGTTGCTTTGGTATTGTGTTTTGTGGGTTTGATTCTGTTCCTTAGGAATGCATGAGATTTTCTTTATCGTAAAGGAAAAGTAGAAACTTCTTTGTTTGCTCTAATTAGAGATCTCTCTCTCTCTCTCTCCTCCCCCCCCCCCCCCCCCCCCCCCCCCGTGTGTGGATCTGTTGGGTGCATACATGTATATATAATAGACGCATTCTCGTCTTCTTCACTCATCGTTTCCTCCCATCTTTTCTTTTGCTTTTTTTCAAATAAGGAAGGAGGGACAAAGAAAGCCAAACCAACGCTAGGGAAGATATGCAGACTGGGAACAACACATCTACATCTAGACTTGGGCGAAATGTGATCGAAGAATGCAAATGAGAATTCTTTTTTCCAGGCTTGCCTCACTCCTACCTACACCTACCCAAGTAACTAACCCAACCCAACCCTCCAACTCCAGGGTATCCATATCTCTCTCTGTGTTTTAGTATTGAAAAGTTAAAGGAGAATGTAATATTTTATTATTTTCATGATCATCAATGATTATAAATTAATGAATCAACCGAAAATCAATGTCTCCAAAACCTTTTTTTTGATATTGAAAGCATAACCTTGTCATTATATAAATGCATGTATCTCTGACTATATTTCAGGAGAGGTTTGCGTTATCTGCTTTGTTGGATCGAGCCACATCTTATGTAAATCAACTGAAAGAAAAAATTGAAGAACTGAAGAAAAGGAAGGAACAAGTACAACTCCAAGGTGATGGAGATGCCATTGAAGACCAGAGACAGAGGGGTGGCTTGATGTTACCAGTACTTTCTATTAGAGAGGTGGGTTCAACTTTGGAGATAAATTTGATAACTGGGATGAACGTGAATCAGAGCTGCATGTTGAATAAAATTTTCAGACTTCTTCAGGAGGAAGGTGCTCAAGTTGTCAGTGCTAGCTACTCAACTGTGGGTTCAAGGACATTCTATTCTGTTTATTCACAGGTTAATCTTCTTCTTCAGTGTCCCTCATGACTGTTATTTCCGCATAGTCATGTGTGCATGAATTGAATGGAATGTAGTATCTAGGATGCAAATGAGTAAGTTAAAACGCTACCATGTTATCAATCTGATTCTTTTTTTGGTAAACGAGTTAAATCTAAGTAAAGTACGTACAACCAAACTCAAGTGGACAGTTTGCTCCACTCCAATGTGTTCGTGTTTATTTATTTATTTATTGCTGACTATGTCGAATGAGGAAATCGAAACGATGGCCAGTTGCACATTGAGACATAACTAGCTAGCCCAGTAATGCTGTGTTTTCATATCATATGATACACAGAATCAAAGAGGCAGATGATAAATATTAATATCACTTGGATTAATATTTTTTTTGCAGGCTTTGTATTCAAGAATTGGCGTAGACACTTCCCGAATAATTGAAAAATTGCAGACTTTGGTGAATCCTGTTGCTCAGCAATTACTTGGTTGAATTGAAACTGAGATGGGCATGCGAATGCAGTGCATATTTTCCTGTTTTTTGTGTGCGTTTAATTTGGTGTTTTTCTACTGTATTTTTTTTTATCTAGGGTGAATCCCACTTTATACCCCCAAAATTTTTTAAAATTTTAATTTGAACCCTTAATAATTAATTTTATTACATTGTACCTTCAATGCCATAAAACAGTTGCAATATGACTCTCACACTAATTTATATTGCCATTGCCATCAAAACCTACTGTAATTAGTGTGGGGGCCACATAATAGATTTCATGGGAATTATAATAGAAATTAGTATGAGGATCACATTATAGCTATTTTATAATATTGATTTTATAATAATATGGAGGGATAAATTAGAAAATCAAAAAAAAAAAAAAAATTCACTGAAATCTATAAACAGAATGTAGAATAAATATAGATATAGATAGTAAAGGCGGCTCAAGCCAATTTAAGGCCTAAAACGAAATTATTAAATGGAGGCATTTTTATTTTTAGTATTATTTTTTTAAAAAAATTAATTTATTTTTAATTTTGTATATGAGATAGAGACAAAATAAGGATGTGTTAATATTGTTGAGAAAGAGATTTTTATTTTTATTTTTGTTTTTTTACCATAAAGAGGGAGAGAGTGTTTTATTTCAACTTTTGTTTTTTTTTTTAATTTTTTTTGAGAGAGAGAGAGAGACAGAGAGAGTGTGAGAGTAAATATTAGTTGAATTTTGAGTACTTTTTTTATTTTTTTAATTTCTAAGTTTTTAATGTTATAAATTGAATTATAGGTCCAAATTATTGCAATAAAAATTTTAATTGAATTTAATTTTTTGGGGTTTTTTTGTAAGGTTTAAAATTTAATAGATTTAATTTTTTTGTGGGCTAGTACTATTCCTAAAATTATAATACTTTTTAAAAATTTGGAGCCTAAAATCCGTGTTTTTTTTTTTTTTGATACCGTTGGGCCGCCCGGATAGATAGAAGAAGATTATACTGACTTGATGTCAAGAGATGCAAGTGATAATATACACATTTTGTACTACTATTTGTCAGAATAGAAGATCATTCTTGTGCCCCTCTCATACATTAGTAGTGGAACTAAGCAAGGTTTTATTTTGTCTAAACATACACAAATATTCAAGTTCTAACCATGATCACTCATTGTATGTATAATCTAAATCTAGTTTTCAAGTTTCCTAGAGGACCCATATATAAAGTAGACATAAACCCCTAGTGAAACAACCACCAGAACAGTCACACCATAATTTACCATCAATTGTCTCTCTTTGTTCAGTCCATGTGAAAGGCCCTTAACCACCTTCTGTTGTGACTCTCCAGCACCAGAATCAGTAGTAACCTTTGTGCTTTCCTTTTCTTCTGCTTGGAAAATATACTCTTTACCTTTCTCGAGACTTCTCATTTCTTTTTCCTTCTCATTCCCCCTTTGTGTCAGTAACTTCATTTGTTTATTGTGCCTGTTGTACAATACTTTCCTGGCTTGACAAGTTAACTCTATTTCCTTCCTTTTGCTTGTCGTCTATGCTGGTGCTCAAAGTCGGTTTTGCAGGTTTTCACCTTGACCCTTTTCCGAATTCGGCTCGCTCGAGATTTTCTGAGCATTTAGAGTGTCTAAACTCTTGCCATTTGTTTTTTTTTTTTTGTCACCATTAATGGCTGAAGTAAGTTTTGTGCGACCATTTTGACCCTTTTGACTCTGTCTCACCTCGAGATTTTGACGAAGAGGGTGAGTCTGTCTAAGTCATCTCTCTCCTTTTTGTAGGTAATTGAAAACACTTTTAATTTTGAAGGAAGCACCATGGTTGCACATGAACTTTTTTTCGGAAAAGTATAATAAGAACAAGAAGTATATGTGTAATTAAGGTTTAATGTAGCATTAATCTTATTGAGACATAACTTAGGGACATAGTTTGGGACTTAATGTATTGTGGCTATTGAATTAATGGTGAAGTACATTCAACGTTGAGATCCACTGAAAATCTAATTGTCATAATCGTTAAATTCTCAAATTAACGTTGTTATTTAACTACTTAAATTAATTTCACAATACCCCAAAATTGGAAGAGCATCGTGTTTTAAATGGAAAATATCTACATGTGTGTGATCAAATACACAATTCTAACTCAGGACAATATGAAACTAATAATTATAGTTGGAGGTGCATTTTGAAAATATGATAGTTAAGGGGCATAATTGACAGAAACAAAGTATAATGTGCCCAAAGTTCTCATTCATGGATCTATGAAAATTAAATTTCAATCCTAGGTATGCTTTGACACAGCGTTAACATTACTCTATTAGGCCCCGGACATCACCGAAATAGCTCACAAAAATATAAATTAGATTGGCATGTTTTGGGCTACCCTTTTCTAATCAAACTAAAAAAAGTGTCACAATAGGAAGAATGAGCACCAAAATGAGACCAAAGTTATATTCTAAGGATCATTTCTGGATTTTTTTTTCATATTGTTTTGTTACATACATAAGACCTGTTGTGGCAAGAAATTCAGAAGAAGCCAAAAGCTAGAGGATGGTACCAGCATAGTCCTCTAATTGGTATCTGTTTAAACCGGTGAAGCTACTCCACTCCATTTCCTTCCTGGGAGACACTTGCAATGCTACATGCCCCAAAATATTTTCTAAATTTTATACCCCAAATCCATGTCATGTAAATGATTGGATTAGTGACTCCCGTTACATTTTTCTCAAAGAGATATGAGTGATGGTATTGAATCTCATATTCTGAAAACAACAAAAATTTTGGGAGCACTAACCTAAGGATAGGAATTGCTCGTTTCGGGTCAGTTTACTAATCCAACCATTCGAATTGAAAAGGAATGTAAGATTTGGGGTTTATTTTGGGATATGTAACTCATCTGTTGATCATACGTAAATTAGACCCTAACTTCAGAAAACTAATCCCTCTCTCTCCTCTATACAATCCATCCCACACCCTTTAATGGGATTGCATCACAGAACATGCAACGGCTTGAGCCCAATGCCTCAACTTAGTCTTCACCTGTTGAGGATCATCACCTGCACAGAACAATGTAAAATCAGAATAAAATAATAATAAGAATAATTGCAGCTTTCCTCTGATGGTCTGCTTTAAAGCATCATCTTGCAATTCTTCATAATTCTTTGTATGGCTCGGTAACACTTTTAAGTACACGTAGTAGTATTGCTCCTTGTTTAAGCAACAAATATAATTTTGTCAATCTAAATAATAGGATAAATTACACTTATACCCTCTAATCTATCACCCTTTTTTCACTTAGTCCCCTTAACTACCAGCTTTTTCACATTGCACCCTAATTCTCACATTGAGGGGCAATGTGAGAAATCTGGTAGTTGAGGGGGAAAATAAAAAAAAATGTGATAGTTTAGTGTATATAAGTGTAATTTATGCTAAATATAATTTTTGCGAAAGAACAATTTCGTCCCCAAAAAAATTTATCTCATTAATGGCAATTAGGGGAGGTATGTCAAAAAATTAAGCACAAATTTCATAATTAGCCCTTGAGCTTTGATTTTGATTTCAATTTTGTCTTTGAGCTTTCAATTATCTCAATTTAGTCTCTAAACTATTAATTTCGTCTCAATTAAATCATTTTAGCAATTTTAACTGTTAAATCAAATGGAAACATATGATTTAATGGTGAAAATTAATAAATTCGAACTAGCCTCCATTTAAACTAACGGTAAAGATAGATGGAAGAACAAATTGAGACTAAATTCATAGTTGGGAGACTAAATTAGGATAATTGAAAGTTTAGAGACCAAATTAAAATTGAAAGTAAAGTTAGGGACTAATTACAATTTTTACCCAAAAATTAATTTATAATTCAAATTTCATTGTAATTTCATTTAGGGCCCCTCCTAAATTTCAGTTACATCACTTCTTTCATGATTATTTTTGTTCTAGAGTATTGTTATTCCTTTAATTATCATTTGCACGCCAGCTATTTGGCACAGATAACGAACCTGGACTACAAATCTTCCATGACTCATCGCTCTTAGGGCTTTCAAAAGACGTAGACCTCCGTCCAAGCGACGTGGACAAACCTCCGAGCGACACCGACGAGCCTCTACTGTCCGGAGTTGAGATGGGGCTCGGCGAAAGCTGCCGATTAACCGCAAAATATAGGTCAAGGGCTGGTAATGTGCTGCATAACCTTTGTCCTTCTTCTTCCTTGAACCCAAACCCTAGCTCTATGGACCCTTTCAACTCATTCAGGTCCTCGTCGGTCAAGTCGTCCCGGTCGTTGATCCCGCTCTTCCGTCGCTCTTGAAGGAGACTCTGGCGGCGCCGCTTCTCCCAGGCGATATCACGGGGTGTCTCGCACATTGACAGCTGCTTTGATAGCCTTTTTTGGCTCCTCCAAAACGGCGGCGCGTGCTCTAAACGCTGCAGCTCATCGGTTTCTGACTCGTACGAAGATGTCGACGATGACGATATTAATGTTTTTGCCTGAGTCTCGTCCATCTTCTTTTTCTATGTCAGTCAAGACAGATTATTCAAATAATCTTGAAAAAATTCAGTGATAAATGATGGTCGAGAAAAGATTCAAAGCATATATTAACCCTCTGTGTCACCTCAAGTGGTAATCAAGGTAAGCTAAGGTGGTGATGATGTTCAGGGGTAGCCGTGGCGGAGCAATAGGTGGTCAGCTCCGCCAGGCGTGGGAGGAGTTGGGTGGGCGTGGAGCCGCTTATTAAAGGGTTTTTTTTTTATACGTTCCAAGAAGGAATTGAGTTTGTTTATGGTGTCTCGGATTCTCGGAACGGCACCAGCCCAACCAGTTCGTGCTGCAAGTGCGTCGGAGACCTTTAATGGGAGGTTGTCAGCGGACGCCCATTCATTTCGTGGTTTTTCTCTCTACGCTCCACCGCTCATTTTCAACTGTCATATGCATGGATTATCACGTACAATTTAGGCTTTAGCCCTTCATGGGTGCAAGATTTTTAATAGAATAAGGAATATGCTATACGACAGGGTTTCTAACCCGATTTGATTTGAGTTGAATTGTGTCCCCCCAAGAATCAAAATTGGATTAATCACAAATCTTGCGCTTGAGGTGTTACCCGAATTTCATCTAAGTTCGACAATTTAAAAATGAGCAATATTACTGTGTTGACTAAGATTTCTTATTAAATTTTTTACCTCAAATGATGTGACATAATTTTTATCATCAAATAAATAGATCTTATTAATATTTAATGATAAAGATTGTGTCACGTCATTTAGAATAAAAATATATTATTACTGTCAAAGATGTGTCAAACGTAAATCGACCCTAAATTGACTTCTCGACTGACTGGTCTAACCCATCTGAATGGTATGCTAGTCTATGAAGAGAATATTTACATTTCCTTTCCGCATAGAAAGACACTGAAATTTCAGTGAAATTAAACACCTTAAATGGTCTTGTGTTGTGAAATAATACAACTCGAAGGCGCCACATTTTACCCGTAAAATCTCCCAGATATCAAGTTTTTTTTTCTAATTGCATCATCCATACTAACCTTACACAGAAAGGAAAAGAAGTCAGTTAGAATGAGTAGGGTTAAAAAAGAGTTAATAATGGTTATTTAGAAAGAAAAAAAAGTAATACTATTAAGACCTAGAAATATGACATAATATGTTGATCTAATTGTTAATGTATATAATCATAATATGTTTGTTCCATATTGGTTAGACTAGAAAGTCTCACAACTCTCTTGTACTATAAATATACCTCCTCATATACATTATAGATCACACCAAAGCAATGTATAATTCATATTCGCATTTTATTTTCTTCTTTCACATGGTATCAAAGTTTAGGCCTGTGAATCTTTCTAATAAATGATAGTATACTCGATGGTTGCCCTACGAGGAATCCTCCATATCTGAAATCTTGAAACTCTTCTTCTCTTTCAGCCACCCTCCGACGACCCTCCAGCCGCTTTTTGGTGACCCTCCAGCCACCTCCGACCATTTCCCGAAGACCTTCCGGCGATATTTTTATCACCTCTAGTTATCCTCATACAACATTCCGATCACCTTCCAGCCATCCTTCGAAGACCTTATAGTCGTTCACTGATCATCTGAATCCATTATGGCACTATCTGATATGATCCAGTCCCACTGCTCATATTGTCACAAGTCTGGTCATACTCTACTCAAGTTTGCAAGTTCTGTCACAAAAAGAGCCTAAGTCACTATCTGAGTAATTGTCCACAAATTTTGTACCATAATGCACCCAAGAATGGCATACGTAACACCAACCAACAGTACGGATCTGACAATTAGTCTAGCAACAAGTCTATGTCTATTTCTCACACTACTGTTTCTACTGTCAATAACTCTTATCCTCCAAAGTCTCTGTCTTCGACCTGCAGTGCCAATGATCTTGCAGCTATCCTCAAATAGGTTCTTTCTGTGTCAGTTAATTCATTTTCTACTGCTTTGTCTACCACTTTAATTAAATCATCTTGATTCTTTGACTCTGCGTGTTATAACCATATGACCCTTGATAAATCATTGTTTTCTTCCACACAATTTGTTGGTTCTATTCCACCCATTCACACTGCAGATCGCTCACATATGCATGTCAATCACGTTGGACATATCTCTACATCTAATGTGTCGCTTCCCCATATTTATCACATACCTAATCTTACTTTCAATCTCATATATGTGGGTCAACATTGTGACCTCAGACTCACTGTTTTGTTCTCTTCTACTGGTTGTATTGTCCAAGATCCACAGACAGGACACACCCTTGGGATAGGTCGTAAGCATGGAGGTTTGTTTAAGCTTATCCATCTTCGTCTTCCACAATGACTATTTTCCTCCGTCCTTTCTACTGTTGCTGCTTCAACTCTGACCAACTCTCCTTTCAATCTATGGCATTCTTGTCTGAGTCATGTTTCTTCAATTCATCTACAGTATTTAATTTTCAATGGTCAGTTAGGGCATGTTCACAGTGAACAACTTGATTGTTTATCTTCCAAACTTGTAATAGTAACTCTTTGTCTTCTGCCTTTATGGATTTGGTTCAATCTGACATTTTGGGAACTACTCCAACTGTCACTATGGGAAGGTCAATGTACTTTGTCATTTTTATTATTGACTATTCTCATTTCACTTGAGTTTATATTTTATAAACTCAATCTCAATTGTCACAAATTTATTATAATTTTGCCAAAAAATGGTCCAAACTTAATTCCCATGACCCATTAAAGTCATGAGAATATCATGGAATTAGAGACACCACCTTCCTTAACTTTCTCAATCAACATGACATTATTCCTCATCGTTTTTACTCTGGCACATCTCAACAAAATGAACGTGTTGAGCACAAACATCGTCATATTCTTAATACTATTCGTGCTCTTCTCATCTCTTCTTCGTGTCCTGAGCGTCTTTGGGGTGAAGCTGCTCTTACTATTTTCTATATCATCAATCATATTTCCTATCCTATTATTGGGAATCAATCTCCATATGAGCGATTGTATGACACTTCTCCTAATTACCACTCTCTTGGAGTCTTTGGTTGTGCATGCTTTATCTTACTCCAGCCTCATGAGCATATCAAGTTGGAATCTCAGGCAAGGCTTTGTTGTTTCTTGGGTTATGGGATTAAACATAAAGGTTATCATTTTGGGATCCATATTCCAAGCATCTTGTGTTTCTCGACATGTCATCTTTTGGGAACACAAGATTTTCTCCTCCTTGTCTCAGTTTTAGCTTTCGTCTACCCCTATTTCTCCTCTCTTTACTAATCAATCTATGGATCTAAACATGATGACCCACATCAAGACTCGTCTGAGCTCCCATCTACGGACTATCCAGCATATCCAGACTCATATGAGCTCTTATCTACGGACCATCTAGAGGCTTTTGTCCTACCTCCTAATCATGATCCTACTCTTGCCCACTTTATACTGATAGTGGTATTACATCAACTCCTAAACCCTCTACACAACTTCTTAGTGATACCCATTATCCTACTCAGCGTCATTCTACTCGAGTAAGGAACATTCCTCTTCGTTTGAATGATTTTCATTGTTTCTCCACTATTTTATCTCAGTATGAACCCACTCTTATTGTGAGGCTAGCTATGACCCTAATTGGCAGCAAGCAATCACAGAGGAATTGTAGGCACTAGCTGACATAAATACTTGGAATTTGGTTAATCTTCCTTCTAACCAAAAGCCTATTGGTTGTAAATGAGTTTATAAGATCAAGACTCGATCTGATGGTTCTATTAAGCATTACAAGCCTCATCTAGTGGCCAAAGGCTTTACACAGGAGTATGATATTGATTATGAGGAAACTAGTTGTTGCTGCAACCCACCAGTGAAAATTATATCAGATGGATATTAAAAACTGTCTTTATCAATGGTGACCTTATTGAGGAAGTCTACATGTCGCCTCCTCCTAGCTATCCACATTCATCACATCAGGTTTATTGACTTCGCCGTGCACTATATAGCCTCAAGCAAGCCCCTAGAGCCTAGTTTGCAAATTTTAGTGCTATCATTGGAGATTTTGGTTTCTTTTTCAGCCCTTATGATTAGGCTCTCTTTTGTTCGTAAGTTTGAGCTTGGCGCTACTCTACTACTTCTCTATGTTGATGATATGATTATCACTACAGATAATATTTCTAGTATTTCTAATCTCATACATCTTCTCTACACACACTTTGAGATGAAGGATCTTGGTTCTCTCAACTACTTCTTAGGTCTTGAGATCTCGTCTAATTTCGGTGGGTATTATTTCTCTCAGGCCAAGTATAACTCTGATCTTTTTACTTGTGCTGGACTCACTAACTACAAGACTATACCTACCCTATTAGAGCAAAATGTTCGACTTATTTCCTTGGATGGCACACATCTCTCTGATGTCACTCTTTACTGCAAGTTGGTATGTAGTCTTGTGTACCTCACTGTTACTCGCCCAGATATAGCCTATGTTATTCATCTCGTCAGCCAATTTTTGATTGCCCCTCGTTTTACTCATTATGTTGTTATTCTTCATAATCTATGATGTTAAGGATACTATGTTTCATGGTCTTCATTTCTCTATTCACTCATCTCTCAAGCTACTCGTCTATACTAACGCTGACTAAGTAGGAGATCCTACTGATTGTCATTCTATCACTTGTTACTATTTCTTTCTGAGCAACTATCTCATCTCTTGGCGTAGCAAGAAAAGGTATGTTATCTCTCGATTTAGTACAGAGGTAGAGTATCATGCTCTTGCTAACACTACCTAGGAACTTCTTTGGCTTCGTTGGCTCTTAGAAGATTTAGGTGTCTCTCATTGTGGTGCTACTATTCTTTACCGTGACAATCGGAGTGCGATGCAAATTGCTCACAATGATGTTTTCTATGATCGCACCAAACATATTAAGATTGACTGTCATTTTGTGCAACAACATGTGGCTAAAGGCATAGTTTATCTTCTCTTTGGTTCTTCATTTGACCAGACTATTG